ACTGCACTCTTTAGGACGTCCTACCATTTATGGTACAGGCGCCCGATCGCACCAACGGACGCCCAGGTACTGGCTAGCCACGTCCAAAAAGCTTCAACGGGGGATTTTGCAAGGTTAGCGAAGGGCAAGATGAGCTAGCTACAGCAACGTCGGCTGCTACAAATGGGAGATTGCAGAAAAGGTGGTCGACGACAAGCCAGCTGCTGTGACGGGAGATGCAGCAGTGGTGACCGGCAATGGTCGACAATGTCAGCGAGCCGGCTGCAGCGACATGGCACATGGGGATTGATGAGTAACGATAAGTGTGTGAGGTGGATAACTATGAGAAGGGGGAAACGGCGTTCACTCAATTAACGGCTACACGAAGACGGTTGCGAACAAGCTTTTCTTTCTTTTTCCTTCCTACTCCCTCCGTTCCTAAATACTTGTCTTTCTAGGCATTTCAACAAGTGACTACATACGGAGCAAAATGAGTGAATCTACACTCTAAAATATGTCTACATACATCTGTATGTAGTAGTCATTTGAAATGTCTAGAAAGACAAATATTTAGGAACGGAGGGAGTACATCCGAATGACGTCTAGCATTGGCCTTATGGATATCATGCATGGCGTGGTGTCATTGTAATTAAAATGGGATTACAGTTTATGCATAATAATATATTGGTAGTGTACTTGGGATTAGCACACACTTAGCATATTGAATTACTCCCAGCCTAATATTAATAAATAACAGACATAGTAAGTAATAGCATTAAGTGTAATGATTTGTGCGGAACCTAGAACCAAAGTGTTGATGCACATATAACCCTCACTAAATTTGAATGCACATCAATTTTTATTACCGTTGCAACTATGCACTGGCCTATTTGCTACCGTTGCATTTTGATCAATTCCATATACTACCTCTGTCCAGGATTAGAAAGCTCGTGAGCCAATTCTCTAGAGCCAACACACGGTGCAAATTTTGACAGAAATTTTATCCCGTTGCAACGCACAAGCCATATTCGTAGTTTTTATCTATGGAGATAACTAGCTAAGATGGTATTCAATCAAATCAAAACCAATAAAGAATGTGTCTACAAGAAAGCTCGAGAAGGTTCCGGGCAAGGGCCGGCCCGAGAATCGAGATGCCCTTGTTCTTGTTCTAAGAGCAACTTTAACTCACTGGCACAAACAAACGTTGTTTTTGTCTGCTTTTTATCTGTTTGGGTCAGCCGAGTGGATGCGTGTGTGTGTCCGTTTTTTTGGTTTGGGTCAGCTGGTGCACCAAACACGACCGACACATTAGTCCATGTGGCCTTAAAAAGAAGTAAATAGGCATAAATTTAAAACATGCAAATAAACTAAATATAATTATACATCAAAACAGTCGGTCAATCTCGGGCCAAAGTTCACTTCAACAGAATTCGGCATTAATAAAAATACTTTAAAAAGGCGCCTCTCAGTCGCCTAGCCCGCAGCCCTCGTTGTCGGAGCCGGTGAGGCTGAAGAAGGGCTGCCGCGTCGGAGCCCACAGGAAGGCCCACTAGTACGCTGCCCGTGACACCTCCTCCATCATCTGCTACATCGGTTGCTCTCCTGCGTGGCACACGCGCTACTCCTCCTCGCACTCTCCTTGCTCCTCCGCCTCGCGTACCCAGCGTTGCTAGCGCTCCTCCTCCTTGCACTGCAGCTGCATGAGGCGCCCCCCTAGGCCCGCTCCTCTGCTAGCGTGCGTGCCATCCACTTCTGGAGATAGGTCGCCTCATGTTCCTCCGTCGCGCTCCCACCGCTCCTCCTCCTCGCCTGCCCAGCACTGTTGGCGCTCCTCCTCGCGCTCCAGCCGCATGAGGCGCTCCCCCTTGGCATGCTCCTCCGCTAGAGCGCACGCCTTCCAGTGCTGGAGGTAGGCCACCTCCTGCTCCTCCGTCGCACCAATCCAAATGGCGGGGGCACTGATCCACTCCCGAACGACACCCTCCCATTGGTACCTCTCGGGGGCGGCGTGGGCTCGGGCTTGGGTTCGGGGAGAAGCGGAGGTGGCAGGGGATAGACGCAATCCCCCGCCGCCGACAGCAACAACGCCTCCTCATGCCTGGCCAGTGCGCGTCCCCCTCGCACGGTGAACTTTTGAGGGCGCGCTAGAG